CTTTCCTGGACTGCGGTGCCCCCGCTGGAGAAGAGCCAAACTACTCTGAGCCCAGCTAGGTTCTCGGACTGGTTCCAAGGATGAGATCCTCCAGGCTGCTGCAGGTTGAGTTAAGAACAAAGACTTTGGGTGGAGGTGCAGAGGGTGGAGGGGGAATGGCAACAGGGCCCTTGCTAGTGCTCGTGCCTGTGGTCTAAAACAAGAACCCAGGTAGCACTTGGCACTTAGGGACACTCAAAATGTCAGTGACTGAGGGGCATGTGTGAGAGGTCAGAGTTGAAGTAAGGGTGGAATCATAAAACAAGGAGGGAACACCTGGAAGAAGATGCATGGGAAAGGATGTAAGTCCAGGACTGAGCCATGGGAGGCATGTGCAGTCTGAGGGCAGACGGAGAAATCAGGGAGGTAGATGTTAAGCCAGGACGCAGTCACAGAAGCCTAGAAAGGAAAGTGATGGTGCCAGAGGTCATCGGAGAGGAAGCCGAGGACTGGCAAAGTCTGCTGAACTTGGCTGAGGGAGGAAGAGGCATGGGGGTCGAACAGCAAGAGCACCACAGGCTTGGGTCAAATCTCTGCTCAACCGTTGACTTACGCTGAGCAAGAGACTTACCTCTTAGGTCCTCAGATTCCTTAGTTACAAACAGATGATACCTACTGATTGGGCCAGAGGAGGCCTTGTCCAGGACCTGAAACTAGGGATGCGCTCAATGCATGCTACCATTATTATGTTGGTGGTGGTGTTATTATTGCAACTGGTGACCTTGAAGGAGAAAATATCAGTTCAGTACCGGGAAGGGAAGGGAAGGGGAAGAAGATGGGAACAAGATTGCAGGAAGTTAAGGGGAACCAAGGAGATGGTGGGTGTCTCGCTGACTTTGCTGAGGAATTTGGTAGTGAATGAAGTCGAGAAATCCACTGGTTCGGCAGCAGGAGGGCCAGTGGTTTCTTTAGGAGCGAAAAGGTGAGTGAGCGCTCACAAGCAAAAGGAAAGGGACCTGCAGAGATGGGGCAATTGAAGATATCAGAGAGGGAGAAAGGAGATATCAGAGAGAGGCCCCGTGAGTAAGCAGGGATGGTCCCCCAGAAGAGAAGCGGGACCCCCCCCCCCCGCCGACTGCAGTGTTCTCTGCACCCGGCCTTCCTTCACTCCTTTACCAGCCTTCCCACTTAGGCCGGGGATGGGAGGTCTCTCCCTCAGCCGCTTTCAGAAAGTGTGGCATCAAGAAGACTTGCCTAGAAGTCAAGAGGCCTGAATCCTCGTCCTGACCCCGGCCATCTGCACTTGGCTACGCCCTTGCCCTTCCTGAACCGTGTCCTCCTGCATAAATGACTGATCCTCTCTGTGAGTTTGTAACCATGTCGTCTCACTAAGCATTATAAAACATTTCCTCTTCTGAAGCTTTTCTCCACTCTGATTGGAAGAAAGGGGGAAAAAAAAAATCTTTGAACTGAAGCTATCACTTCCTCCAGCAACTGGGACAATATTTCTGCTTCACACGTGTTGCGAGCAGATCCGGTGATTCCATCAGTACCGGCAGATCGCTGCTGAGCCTCCTGGTGTTGTAAATAGCGTGTGCACTTTGTCCTGGCCTCCTGGAATGAAGCAAGGGAGAGGCGGGAGCTTTGTGCGAGGCTGAGTGTTGCTGTTGACGGCTGCAGGCTTCCGAATCCTCAGAAATAACAACAGTTACTGCGCATGCCCAAATTTGTCCTCCAAGGCAGCAAATGCATCAGCTGCTGGTTATTTTGATACTCTGGAGAAAAAGCTTTCGAGAAAATCTAGTACAGAAAACAGTCTTACCCTCTGTTTGTCTGCACCATTCCTTCTGCCCGCTGCCCTCTCAGCTGTTTTCATTCCTATTAATCCAGGCTTTAAAGTCCTTGTCTCAATGACCCAGGAGGAAGACGTTTCTGTTTCGGCCCTTCGTGAATGTGGAAGAAGCAAGAGAAGAGACACCTGGCTATGTGTCTCTGTGCCAAGGCCGGTCTGACCTGGAACCTGCTGGAAACCAGTCCAGTGTGGATGGGTTGTCTGACAGCCACAAATGGCTCTGACCATTTTTGGATTCAACAAGCATTCACCGAATGCTTACTGTGCACTAGACCTCGGGCTAGGACCATGAGAGATGGTGATAAACGTGGCTGGGATCTAATAATCCAGCCGCCACAAAAACACAAGCTCTCTGATCAGGTACCATGGCCATGTTACAGGGCCTGGCACACAGGAGGCGCCCAATAATCAATCTTTGGAGTGTGTGTTTGTTATTTAACGTGTTATAATTTACTCAAGATCCTAAAAGCTCAGGGACAGAAACGGAGCTATTCAGGGATGGAAAGGAGCACTTATTAAACCAAATGTGCCATCAGAATGTGATCAACAATTTGGGGAGGGGGGTATCCAGGCTTATATCCTGCTTACATCACGTTTAAATTTCCCTCTTACACACTTCATGAAAAAGAACCACAAGTGCCCCAAATCCTTTTATCTTTCTGGGTGATATCACAAGGACACATATAAAAGCTCTGTATTCAACAACCAAAGACTCTGCTATTCTAAAATTTTCAACTTCATCCCTAAATTCTTGGACAGCTATTATGTAAGGCTTAGGGCTGGTGCTTTCAAACAAGTTTATAAGTAACATGATTGATGAATGAATTTGTCCTATGGTCTGGAAATTCTTTTGTTTCACTGACGATGATAAATTTCCTAATGGATCACCCTGACTCTGATGTTACTTCTAGAGAAAGGGCCATTCACGGTGGCTCTGGTCACTTACACTCACCTCCAAAGTGTGTTCCTCTACCAGTTTGTATCTCAGCAACTCAAGCGGATGAGGCTTTGCTGGGAAATAACAAGGTCATATCAAACCTAAAACTCCCTTCCAAGTCTGGGGCTTTCTCCTACCTCATCCTTCTCAGAGCATACATAAGTGGGTGAACTTAGGTATGGGAGCAAAGATGAAAACAGAAAGAAGCGGACACCTCAGCCCAATCTGTGTCAAGTGTCTAAGCAGGGCCTCACCTTGCTCAAGTGCCCTCCACTGGGGGACAAGGGCCACCCTTGGACTTAGAGCGGGAACTCCTGTGCCTCACTAAATCCCGGCACCTGAGAGTGACTTTCACCTTAATTGTGCTGCCATGGCTTCACCCATAAAGGGAGACTCTGCCTCTCCCTCTCTCTGTCTCTCTCCCTACATGCCTTCTTCCCTTGCTGACTCAGGCACAGTGTAGGGGTTCAGCATGCAATTTGCTCAAGGAAGAAGTGAAGAAAAACATCTACAAGCTCAACACCAGAGGGGATGGTGGTATGAAGTTTCAAAGACCCACGAATCCCCCAGAACATTATTACAATTAATGATTCATATTTGGTAGAAATCTGACTTAAGGGGTATTTCTGCCTTGCTAGTATGGGCCATGGGTCAGACAAGTTCTCCCATCAAGGTCTGTATCCATGGAACCCAAGAAATATTGGAGGGCAATCTAGGAGATCCCACCTCCCTGAAAGTATGGATGGTGGAGGAAAAGCAGAATTTAGGTAGGGCTTGGGGTGAAGCAGCAGGTTCTCTGCCTAGGTCACTTGAGAGTCACAGAACTCTTGCAAAATTGTTGAGAGCTGCGGACCCTCTACCCAGAAAAGTGCACACATCACACACAGCCAGACAAATTTGCCTCCAATTTCAGAAGGATGGGGGACCCCAGGAAGGAAACTTATGGAGTCAGGGCCTTAAGTTAATGCTCTGATTCTAGGTGCTGATGCCTAAGTCTTCTGCCCCTCGTCCCTACGCAGGACTTGCCCCTCCCCCCAGGGTCTTCTAGCTGGTTCTGGTTCTTGGGGCCACAGTCCTCCCTCGTGTCAGAGAAGCCCCGGCACCTGTATCTCCAGGAGCTCCCCTGGGTGCTCTTTTCTCCCAGGGTGACGGGAGGTGTCCCGGGAGAAGGGGTCTCTGGGCTTTTCTCTCTCGGCTGCCAGGAGCAGCTGAAGCCTAGGGCACGGAGGACGACGCCGGCAGACACTCCCGTGCCCTGCTCCAGTCGCTGGCTGCAGGCGACGCGGGAGGGAAAGGCGGGGAGGTGCGGGGTGGGCCGGGCGATTCAGCCCACCTCCAGCTTTTTGGCCCGTTGGCAAGCGAGACCAGCACCCACTCCTGGTGCCCCAGAAAATCCCTGGCCAGCCGGGCTTTGCGCGCAGCCCCTCCAACCCCCGTGCGTTTCCTTTTGACCTCTGGAGGTTTGAACCCCTTCTTGGCTGGGTCGAACCGGCCCTCCCGGGAAAGATCGATCTCTCGTCCCCAGGATCCCCTACTGGCGGGCACCTCCGCCTGGCCAGAGCAGGTGCGGGGCTGGGGCCGGGAAGGGTTGGAGTAGGGGAAAGGATTTGGAGTGGGTGACTCAGGAGTCCGGGAGGAGGGGCTAAGAATTCAAGAAGCCTGTGTTAGAGCAGCTCGGCGCTCCGGCACAGCAGAGAGCGCTGGGAGCCGGAGGGGAGCGCAGCGGTGAGTCAGGCTGCCCCGAGCCCAGCCCGAGAGGGGCGCAGCGCGGGCACGGGCGCGGGCCGGCGTGGCTGGGCTCCTGGGGAGAGTATGCATGGATCCCGGTCTGGCGAGATCTCCGGGCACCCGCCGAGGCTTCCGCGGGCTGAAGTGCGGCCATGAGAGGAGCGTCCCCAGTGGGTGCGGGAGCGCGGGAGCCTCGGCGGGCGGGCGAGTTGTGGGGAGCAGCGCTCTCTCAGGTCGTGGAGTTCCCGATCTCCCGATGGCCCGAAGTCCGGGAGGCAACCCTGGCGCCTGCAGTCGCCGCGCGGCGGTACCGGGGACTAGCTAGACGGAGACAGCGCGCAAGTGAGGGAGAGCGAAAGAGCGTGGCGAGAGGGATGCGCGGGCTGCGAGCGCTCTGGGGCCGCAGGAGTGGTGGTCTGCGCCGCGGAGGGCTAGTGCACGGCGCGCGCGGGCTGGGGTGTGCGCCGAGTCCCGCGCGAGCGCTACGCTGTCCCCAGGTAAGGGGACGAGTTGGGCAGGGGGCTCTGGACCTGGTGCAGGGAATGGAGCAAGGGTCTCTGGGCTCCTCCGCGGGTCGCTGGAGGGCTGGGAGTCTCGAGTGAGGGCCCCAGGGGTTGATAGGGGAAGCCTGCTCGCCAAGGGACCTCCATGGAAGGTCCTGCTACGTGGGTCTCACGCCTCACCTCCAGCTATCTGCCGCCAGGTGTGGGAGAAGCTGGCATGGAGGGGTGGGGCGGGCAGCGCCTTGGGTCCAAGCGACAAAGACCCAGGGGAGGGAGAGGACTTGGGGTCAAGGAGCGGCATCTTTGAGCCATCGGAAACAAGCAGCTTCATTCTGATTACAACTCTCCTTTCTCTTTCCAAAAAAAAACCCCAAAACCAAAAAACCTCTGAGATTCTCATGGAAGGTGTATTCTGCTTGAACTTTCTCTTCTCTTGTGACTTGAGAGATTAAAAAAGAGCCTGCTTGCTAGGCTGGTTTTTCCAAGTTGTTCCAGGTTGGAAGTTGTAACAGTTTGTAGGATAATTTACGGGTGTTTCATGCATTAAAGTGTATTACTGCAAAGCCTTTGGGCGCTATGGGTATTAAGGAAAACTCAGTGCACGTTCCCAGCTGGAAACCAAAATAGGGCTCTCCTGGGTATCTCTGCCCCCTCTGTCTTCTGAGGCCAACGGAAGTCCTGGAGAAAAGGCACTTGATTAATTGTCTTGGTTCCATCCTCTGGGCGCACCCATTGCCAGCCAGCCCCCCCTCCCCCCACACGCGCACGGCCAGCTGCATTCTTAAATTCAGAAATGGAAGTGGAGGGCCCACCAGTATCTCCTCCCCAGGGTCTTCAAACTCTTGAAGCTGTCAGTTAAGTCTGCTGGAGGGGACTATTTCTCCCTCTCAGAGCATATAGAAAGGCAGCAGCCATTGGGCCCTGCCAGCTCTTCTTGTGCAGTGTTTACAATTTGCTATCGAATGTCTGAAACGTTCCCCTTCTGAAGAGCTACTGAAGAAAGACTACATTAGATGTGGAAGATGTCTCTTCTGTGGAAGAAGTTGTATGTCAGTCTGGGCAACCCAAATGTCAATCCACTATGGGCCATGTTCCCAGAGGTTCAGAGGCAGCTGAGGACCGGGGGTGCGGGGTGAGTGAGAGTGGTCTGGGGGCTGAGACTGGCCCTGCTGGTGTGGACTCACAGAGGAAATGAACTCTCCTCATACTTGGGTCGCCGAAGGGGTTTGGGGTCAACTCCTCCCCCATACACTTTTCCCAGTGTTTTTGTGCAGGTGGGACAAAGGGCAGTCTCGAAGGGAAAAATGTTAGGAGGCACCACGAATGGGAAACCAAGGTCTCTGGGGCCCAGGGACACATGTTTTGACATGACTGTAGGAGTACCTCGGAAGATTTTACAGCCAGCTGCTGGGGCCACGCCATCCCTGGACAGCCATCTTACCCCAGAGCAGCCCAGACCCACTAGAGAACTGGAAAATTGGGTCTCCTCAGGGCAGCCTGGCGACCCTTTCCATACCCTTAACCTTTGTCAAGGAGTGAGGTTCCCACCTTCTCCTATCACCCACCACACGTCTCTCCCACCCAGAGGGCCAGAGAGAGCAAGGGATGAGGCTTCACACTCTCCTCTTCCATGGAGAAATCTGTGCGGTGGCCAGGAAGGGGGCCCCAGCTGCCGACATCAGCGGGGAGGGTAGGGCATGGCAGGGCAAGGCTGGAGCCCGAGGGAAGTTTCTCAACATTACTGAGATTAAACTGATGAGAAAATCGCACAACTTTACTTTTAAGTGAGTGCTGAGTACTACTGCTGCACATTCGTGGAGTGCCTTATTTCAGTGGCAACTGCACTGGAGCCGCAGGAAAACTACTCTCTGCTCCCAGCAGGCAGTGGAAAGTTCGCTGAGGACTCATATATAGTCTCTATATATCTCTGAGCAGATAACTCATGTCCCCAGAAGGCTTCTCTTTCTTTGACTGGCACCTCTGATCTTGCAAACCATCAGCTACACTGACAGCTCCCAGGCTCAGCCGGTCCTGAGAAATCAACTCTGGGATGGACCAGTTTCACAGAACAGCATATGGTGGGCTCTAGTAAGTAAATGGAGATGAAAGACCCTTCCCCAACCCTTTACTAGGGATCTTGCTTCCTGGCAGTGGGGAGACCGTTAACATCCTAACTCCAAATAGCAGTAAAATCGGGGTGGCCCTGAGGCAGAAATGCAGCTGGAGAAGCTGAGGCTTTGAGGTCATTGACCTTTTGGTTGGTCGTGCACAAGGATGGAATTGTCACCGTTTAAGCTGAGATGATAGACCTTGAGCCGCAAAATTTGGCCAAGACGAGAATAATGAAAACATACAATAAAAAAGCATCGTAGATTTTTTCATTACTCTTCTATGGGTTACTTTCCATGTTTTGGAGGAGTTTCTATAGGTTATTGGCTTCAATAGGAATCACACTGAAATGATCTCTTGATATCTTTCTCCTGTATTTTGAGGAAACTTCCCGTGGTAGTTTCCTGAATTGTAAGACAGGAGGGAAAGTAGCTTTGTGACCTTGAGCAAGTCACTAAACTTCCCAGCCCTCACTCTCCCAATCTATAGGACAAGGGTAGTGGGTTAACAGTGTTTCTCAATGGGGCTATTGGCATTTGGGGATGATTCTGGGTTGAGAATGACCTATTTATGTAATGCAGGAAGTTTAGTATCCCTACCTCCCCTACTAAAATGACAGAAATGGTGGCAACCCCAAATCCCCTCCCCCCATATATGGCTAAATGCTTATTACAAGGATAATACTGCTCCCGGTTGAGAAGTCCCTTGGCAATTACCAATAAGGGCTTTTCTTTCAGGCCCTATGTTCGGGTCATCTATTATTTAATCATTGAATTGGGGCTTCAGAGGACCAGCCCTGGGCTTCATCCTCCAGGAGCCAGCATATCAGGCTCCAGGAAGCCACCGGCAGGGCTGTGGTCCCGCTGGGCACCATCCTTTGCTTTTGTCAGTGGAGTGTGACTACAAATGACCCACGTGAAAAGAAAACCAGAAAGAGTGGGGAGGAGGGATGGGTGGTATTAGAGCGTGGCAGCTTCTTTCTCTGCCATATGCTATTAAAAACACAGGCAGACTGCCTGCCCCGGGTGTCCACAGCACTGGGAGGAAATCCTTCTCTCCTTTACTAAACGGATCACACTCTGGCACCGGGAGGTCCCTGCTCTGAATGAGAGAACAAGGAAGCAGAAACCTCCCCAGCACGGACAGCACTTCCTACAACATGGGCACATGTTGATATCAAATTAATACAACAGTGCCCAAGCTGTGAGAATCAATGGGAATCAATAATGTGACATTTGATTGAAAAAGCAGGCTAGCAATGCTACGCTGGAGGGATGGTGCTCGTAGCCCTGGGTTTATTCTCACTCATCCTTTCCTCTGCCCCAAGGTCTCACTGGAGGACCAAAAATAGGACCATTTGGTTATTCATAGTGCAAATGGCTAAAACGAACAATGACTTTGGAGGATATAATTGCTTGCTACTCACCCCCAAGCAGTAGAAGAGAGAAAACTACCAAAGCAGTAGAACTGGCAGAGTTTGAATTTGATTCCTAATGAGGCCCCAAAAAACGGACACTGGAGACTTAAGGAGATTCCCAAATGAGGCTGAGACCGGTCTGATGATGCAATCCGGCAAGTGGGACTAGCAACAAGGCCTTTTGAATTGCCAGGTTTGGCCAGCCTCACACACGGAGCGTCTTTTTATTAGTGGTAGTATGAGTCAGTCAGACAGTCAGGGTTTCCCTGAAAATTCCCCACTGGGGTAAGCAGACGGAGATGTTTTGGCATTGCCCGTGGGGGCCTCTGCAGGTGGAGAGCTCTGCCAGTGGAACGATCTAGCTCCGACGTCAGTGGGAATGAATGGCCCAAGCTTCCCACAGAAGCTATTCCACATCGAGGGCAGTTACAATCCACTACTACTGGAATCGTCTCCCAATAGCCACAAAGTATTTGTTGTTTGGTACAGATGGGCTGATTTTCCCATTTCCTTTGGCTGTTCCTTCGGTAGCCAGGGTTGGTGGAATATATCATCTGTCTGCATGCGGCACGCTGTTCCTGAGTGAGCCCAGGGAGGGCCGTGTGCTGGAAGCCATGAGAGCTCAGCCCGGGTTGGGGGAGGGAGGTCCTGTCTCTGCCTCCCATCACTGTGGATCTGATGTGTGGTTAAAGTGACTTGCGTTTCTCACTTGTCCAGTCTGGAGAAGTGCCGTCCCATGTCTGGACCTGACCAGGCCCGGCTTGGAGGTCAATCACCTCATCCTTGTCAGTAACCATACGCTGAACTCCCACATTGTATGAGAGACGCCGAGAGAGGCAGGCTCCCTTTGGGTTGTGGTTTCGAAGGAAGGAGCAGTCGTGCTGGGCTCTAACGGCCTGCAGGCGGCTGGACTAGGTGAGCAGGGAGGAAGTTGAGCACCAGGAGACCAGAGATGCAGGAGGGCGTCTCTTGTACCCAATGTTCCTCTTCTGTGAAACAGAGAGAACAGTAGGACCTACTCTGTTGGGCTGTTGTGCACATCAAGTGGGATGATACTGATGGGACACCAGCACAGGCCTGGCGCACAGTTGAGCAGGCACTCAACAAACACGAGTTCCCTTCGCTCATGTTCTCCCTCCGTGGTACTGATCTGAGGGAGTCCTCCCTTTATGCTTTTCACTTCAGATTGGACAACATCATCTTTGCATTTTTTATGCCTCTGTATGTGTAAAGCTTTGCTGCACTAGGAGAAGAAATCTTTCTGGAAGCACTGAAGCTTCTCTAGGAACTTACCCACCTATATTTTGACCTTCTGTAATTAACATTCTCATTTTGATGGAATTTGAAGCAAACATTTCACCTTCCGAACTACCTTGGCCTCACAATATCTGAGTAAAAGGAAACTCATGCATTTCCTCCTGCAATTTTCTTTCAGAGGCAAACTTCTCCTCAGACTTGTATCTCAGAGATGTTATGTAATGCTCTCTAAATAAGGCATTTCTTGCGAATGGCCATTTGTACTGGCAGCTTTAGGAGTGTTTCAGTTCCTTACCCCGCAGAGCCAACTCCTCCTCCAACAACTTGTTTCCTCAGGATTTTATGTATCTTATCAAGTTTACAAGAGAAGGAAGAGGAGGAGGTGAATTTCTCTATGGCAGCCAGGCGGGCATTTGCGCTCTCCCACCCCAAGGGTCAGTGGCTGGCCAGCTGTTGCTTAATAGCGTATAACCTGTGGTTAAAGGGGGAACAGTCCTCACCCCCGGGGAGGCAGGCTCACTGGACATCAGGTCACTGGACTGATTTTCCTTCTCTCAATTAGCATCTTGATTAATATGCTAACCAGGGGCCTGGGCACTGTGGAGAATCATAATAAATATAAATGACGGTCCTGCCCAAGGAGCTGGCTCTAGAGCGAACATTTAAATGGCTTCAGAGAGGCTCATCAGATAACGTAAATGAGGTAAGGCCATGAGCCAATGGGGCCTGCAGTAAACTAGAGAGGTTATGCCCATCAGAAGGGGACAGGCCGTCTGTTGCTTTGCAGGTTTGTAGGTCTAATGTGGCCAGATCTTCCAACTTTTCCAAAAGAGTCAAAACTTTGAGTTTGAATGTATAGTGTCTTCACTTTTCAAAACATCTGCGCAGACCAAACAAAATCTGTCTGCAGCTTCTTTTGTCTTGTCATCTAGAGAACACACTTGGAGCAATTGAGACCAGTATCAAAATGGAAACTAGTTGAAGAAGTGCGAGCTGTGTGGCTCTCAGAGAGGTCTGAATGGCGCGGTGCTTTCTCCAGAGGCTTCCTGAGGGAGGGGATGTCCTGCGGGCGGGTAGGATTGTATAAAAGCAGCCCTGGCACAAAATAGAACTACCTTCAGAGGCAAGCTTTGCCTCTCGTTGCCTCTATAACAACATTACTTAATCCCTCTAAGCTTCAGTTTCCTCATCTGTAAAAGGGACTCATAATGCTGATCTCGGGGGACGGTTGCAAGGATGACAGGAGGGAGGGCTGGAAAGCCCTTACTTAGCCAAGAGCCTGGAACACTGGCAGTGCCCAGCGAGCCTGAGTCCTGTCTTAATGCTGGGTGGGTGGGGTTTAGCCAGTCCAGAGCGCATTAAAGGGCCAGAGGCACGAAGAAGGGCCCTTCACTGAGCTTTGTGAACAGTTGCTTTTTGAGGACTTGAGCCTTAACTGCTTTTCCTGCCCCAAGAGAAGGACAGAAGGTATAGGCTATTTTGCTCCCCTCCCCACCTCTTCCTGCTTCTCCCCACTGCCTGAGACCCTGTGCCCGCCTGCTCTGTCAGAATGCCACCCTTTAAAAACCTGACCTGGGCCAACAGCAGAAAAACACAACTCGACTCCATAAGAAGGAAAAGTACTCCGGGAGGCTGTATAGACACGCACGGCAAATATTCAAGGAATTCTTAGGAATAAAAAAAAAAAATTCATAAATCTGGATTTTTGCATGAGGCCATCACAGGAACATGTTTTCTCAATTAGCATACACATTGCTTGGAGTGAAGTCACTGAGTCCGCGGCTCCTCAGGCTGACTTGTGCCGAAGCCACCTGATCTGGACCTCACTTTCCATGATCTAAATCTGATCCAGCCGACCCTGTCCCTGCCCTTAGCTGCCGAAACAAAATCACCCCCAAATCCTAAACCAGGGTGGAGACATACACACCGCACTGCAAAGCAGTCTAATTTCAGATCCTGGGTGTACTCACCCAGAAATGAGAAAGACAACACTCTTCTTGATGGTGGAGTGATAGAGCCTCAGCAACCCCTCGCATTGTTCTTCTCCTCGGGCGTTTATTGTTAGATGGTGACTGCACTGCCCTGTCAGATCAGATGTGTCCTTTAGGTTCTGAAGGCAGAGAAAATTGTTTCTTTTGCAAAAGCATGCATCAACTGCTTAAAATATTACTAGCCGGTGCCTGAGATCAGCGATGACGTTTTCTGGATGGTTTCCTGGACTGATTCTTTTCCAAGTGAATGGCTTTGTCAGATATTTGTCATTTCTGAAATATTTGATTAATGATGTCCCCTCATCAGAGGGATGGTCCAGGGCGCATAATTAGCAGCCTGCCTCCAAAGCAAAGATGCTGCCCAGCGTCCAACAAGATCAAGCAGGAAGTTGACCAACATTTCAAATGTTACCCTGCCCTAGAGTAAAGGAAAGAAAAATGGTTTTCAAACTACAGACCCATTAGGAGGATGCGAAATCAAGTAGTACGACTCTCTCTCTCTCTTTTTTTTTTTTAAAGAAAAAAGTAGAGTAAATTTTTAAAAGTCAATATGCGTTGCATGGAGAAAGGGAAGGTATTCATAAAACTTTTATTTTAGTTGTATATACATTTACACAATATGTGTGCATACCGGATCACGATGGAAATGTATTTTTTCACTGTGAGTCATGGTTTAAAAAGTTTAAAAGCTACTGGCACAGACAACAGCGTTGTACAGGAAAGGGCATCGCTCTGAAGCCAGGCAAACTTGGGGTTAAATCCCAGCTCTGTGATTCCTAGTTGTGTGATCTTGGGTAACTTAAGTAAGGATCAGTGGCCTCATCTGTAAGGTCAGACTAATTGCTCCCTCATAGGGCTGTTGTGTAGATTAAGTGACTAAGATAAAGTGCCTGGTACTGTGCCTGCCACCAAGGAGGCCTCAGGAAGCAAGAGCCACTGGCATCACCTGTCTTCTCCTTCCCCCCCCCGCCCCCGCCTCCTCTTCCTTCTTTATCTTCTTCTTTGAGACTAATCAACCTCATCAGAACCGTGACTTCCCTAGAGGTTTCTATCCCTGAGGTTGGCTGCTTCTCTGGCCAACCCAGCGAAGAAACAACAGCAATCATATCTCACCTTTGTCCCTACCTTTCTCTACCGTCTTTCCCTATTTCACGTTTGCATAGCCATCTTTCTGTGATTCTGTTCCCCAGACATGATCATGACAGTTATTGTCCAAGGGGCCCAAGACATCCCCCTCCCTGTCACTAAGAACCATCAGAGGGGTATCCCAGCCTTCCCAGGCCTTGTGACCGGGATGAATGCTTTGGTCCTAATGTGGTGGTATAGTGACTCTGTATGGAGCTTCTGTTCCCACAAATCACATCCTTCCTCCTCAGTATATTTTTGTAAGGGCAACAGGGCTAAGATACCATTAAAATGTTGACATTGTCAAATTCTTAAGAAGTTCCTGCCCAGAGCAGAGAGCCTAACATTTTCTCGTGAGCGAGGCTCCAGGCGGCCCCAATGTGGAGGGTTTCAGTTTCTCTCCTGGTATAAACAGCCTAGAGGCTCCTGGCCTGGGCCCTGGAGCTGACAGCTTCAGGTAAACCAAACCCTAATCCTGACTCCGGTCCTCAACCTGGCCCTAATGTGTCACTGACCCCAGACCACCCCTTTCCAGCTGGAAGTGAGGAAGACTGACCCACACCAGGGGCCACAAAGATGATATGCCCCAGTTTTCCTGAGAGCCTGGCTAACGCAGCCCCTGAAGACAGGATCAGGGATGACAAACTGCCGCCTCTTTGTTCAGACGGAAGCTTCACCTTTCTCCCTCCTGTTTCCCGTGCTCGCCTGGGGCTCATTCCAACTCTTTTCTTGTAAAATGCCCTCCCCCTGGGCCCCATTTTCACCACTCACATTCAAAGAGGATTATTAGTGACATCTCCTCAAATACTGAATTCCTATCCAGACCAAAGGTTTAAAGCTCCTTTCCAGGCAGTTAAGACATCTCTATTTGAGGTTGCAGGGCAGGGGGCCTAAGGGGAGAAGGCAGACGTGGATCTGGTGTAATTTTCATCTCTGTAAGAGTCTCCGTGCTTTTCCACCACTCATCCCACTATTCCCTGTAAAACTAATGTCACCAGGCCAGTTGCACATTTTAAATAACATTTATAGCAGAAGAGACACATTTGTGACATCATACCCAGCCCCTTTCTCCTTAAGCAGGTGGGTTATATTGAGCCAAGCGCCGGGAGCTTGACTGGACCATAAGCAAAGCAGTTAAGAGGCTGTTTAAATCCATCACTGTTGCACCTGGGTTTTTTGTTTTGTTTTGTTTTGTTTTGAAGAAAAAGTGAATGCTGACTTAACATTTTCTGTGCCCAAAAGGGGGGTAAGAAAAAAGCATATTTCCACCCTTTCTGAAACTTGCAATGACAAATGGAATCAATTGTCCCAGAACATGACATACCACCAAGAATATTTCTTATGCATGAAACGAATTACCTTTCTTTTCATCTGGGTTCAAGGGTATTGTGTCTGTCCTCTCACGGGGAAAGTGTGAACACTTAGAAATGTTTTCATTTTCTTTTTCAGGAGGTCAGACACCAAAGCCTGACTCCAGATTTCATGCCCATGTGTCAGCATCTCTGTATCTTGGAAATGAAAGAAAATATTTAGGGAGTGGGGCTTTTAAGTATTATTTTGATTTTTTCTAAAAAAGAGTGGGACAGAAAGTAGAAGGCTTAATAAAGCAACAAATATGTTTCAAAGATTATTTTTAAAGCACCTTTATGATTAAGGGGAAAGAAAGGAATTTTAAGTTGGCACAGTGTACAGAATGTCCTCCTTCTACCCATTTCCACTTCTTAAATGATTATGGACCTACTGCAGAATTCGGACTGGCAATACTTGTGCTTGGGAAAATTTCACAAACCTGTCTGAGGCTTATTTCTTTTATGGATTGGGAAAGTTGTTATGTAAGAAAGAAAAATGGTTAAGTCAGATATAGGTTATTTATTTCAACTCAGTACTACTGAGAGCTAGGAAACTGAGGATTTATTTCTGGCTCAGCTTCTTCCTAGCTGTGTAACTTGGGCAAATCACAGAACCCCTCTGAGCCTCTGTTTCTTAATCAGTAAAATGAGAATAATAATATTGCCCCTGCATTACCAGATGGGGCTGCTGCCTTGAATATGGCTGCCAGCTGGGAAGATACCTTGACTGTAGGTATAAGAGGTAAGACGTGAGAGCCCTGGACAAGGACCATGAGACTCCTGGCGCCAGTGCTGGCTCTGCCCTTAGTTGGGTGAGGAACCTTGACAGTCACTTACCCTGCATGAGCCATCCCAGCTCCCATCTGCCCGTCTCAGATGCAGTAGCAGATGTGAAGGCACTTCAAGCCTAGGCAGAAACAAGCTGTTCCCACCATGGTGGGAACGGAGGCCTGTGCCAGGCACTGAGTGGGCCCCTGCGAGACTGAGGCCAAGGGTGCCGTGGAAAAAGTGTGAACGTGGAATCAGCCTCTCCAGGGCTCCAGGCCCAGGAGTGGCGTTGAAAAACACATGTGATCGAGGGCAAATTACTGCAGCTCTCTGATTTCCAGTTTCCTCAGCTGTGATATGGAACTAGTAGCACTTACTTCTTAGCGCAAAGATTAAACAAGGTGACCCCTGCCAAGTCCTTGGGTTGTCCAAAACCCAGTTTTATAGTGGTCCTTGGTGTTGATCACAAATGAGCGCCCAAGGGGCTCCCCGCTTAGGCAGTGAGCTGGCTGAGGACAGTCCACGGTGGATGAGGTTGCCAGGCCACGATGCCTCGGGGATGAGAAGCTCTCCTAATGTCCCCTCTCTCTCACTGACCCTCTTCTCTGTCTCCTTTGCTGGCTTTTCCTTCTTCTGACCTCTAAATATTGGAGTGCCTGGAGCTCAGTCCAGGGTCCTTTCTTTCCCCCAGGCATTAAAGGTGAGCTACGCCTTCTGGATGTCTATTTCCAATCTGGACTCTCCCCTGGGCTCCAGGCTCTTCTGTTCTACTGTCATGGCCACTTGGAGATCTAATGGACATCTCAAGTTGAGAATTGTTGACCCCTGAACTACTTTTCTCTGAGTCTTATTTTAGTCTTCCCCATTTTAGACAATGACATCATTATTCCCAGTTGCTCAGACCCCAAATCTAGAAATCATCCTTGACTGGACCTTCCTCATCACCTTTTATATTCAATCCACCAGCAAGTCTCACTGGTTTCCAAATAAGTTCTGAACCCAGTCCCTTCTCAGCATCCCACTACTGCCTCTTAGTCCCAACCACTATCACCTCTCAGCCAGACGACACAGGGACCTCCTCCTGGATTCCCTGCCTCCACTCTTGTTTCCCACAGCCTTTTAACCCAACAGCAGTCACACTGCCCTTTTAAAGATGTAAATCATGTCACGTTACTTCTTAGCTCTCAACCCTCCAATTACACAGAGAATAAAATCCATACCCTTGCCATGGCCTCATTTCAATGGTTCCTAACCCAGTGGACATTTGGCAACATCATACATTTTTGATTGTCACACGTGGAGGGGGCCGGGGGTGGGGTGATACCAGCATCTAGTTGGTGGAGTCTGGGATGCAGATAAACATCCTGCAGTGCACAGGACAGCCCTCAACAACGAAGAATTATCTGGCTCAAAATGTCAGCAGGGTGAGGCGGAGAATGCCTTTATGTGATCTGGACCCTGACCCTCCTTCCTGTGTCCTGTATCACTCCTCCAATCGCCTGCTACGTGGCAGCCTTGCTGACATTCTTGCTGTATCTTCAACATATCACTCTTGCTACTGACTTAGGCCTTTGTACTTGCTGTTTCCTCTGTTGGGGACACTTCTACCCACCGGTCTTCTTCACGTGGTTAGCTTTTGCTCATCGTTTAGGTCTGCTCAGATGTCACCTCTTGAACACCGTAATTTAATGTCTATCCCCACTCGACCAAACCCTGCCATGGTAGGTTCTGTTCCCTTACCCTACTTCCTTTATCTCACAGTACTTAGTCCAATTATTGGTTTTCTTGTTTATTATCCTTCTCCTCCACAGGAATGTAAGAATGGGGACAGGGACTTTGTTGTGTTCACCAAGGGCTGCATCACAAATAGGAGCTCAAGAAGTATTTGTTGAATGAATAAATGGTTGGTAAATATGGCACAGACAGGGATTACTACAAAAGGTTAGGAAAGGAGACCATCAGTGGGATCCAGCACGTAGGGGAAGGCTTCCTGGAGGAGGTGTGACATGGGCTGCTTTGCAAGTTTGTGCAGCCCTCACCCCTTCAGCTAAGGTGGCCCCAAATGGAGCAGGGCTGTGGCCTCCTCTGAAGCCTGAATGTACCTGGGGGCACCTCTTGTAGATTAGAGCCAGCTGTGGACTTTAATATTCAATAGGGTGGAGAGCAGAGCTGGAGGGCTCAGGGGTCTAAGATGTGTGACTGAAGAGAGGAGCCAGGAAAGAGAGGCGACTGGGAGAAAAGCAGGAGCAGGAAGGAGAAACCTAGGCTCCAGTTGGTTCAGATCAGGAGCAGAGCTCAGTATGGAGGGAGGGAGGGGTCTGGGACGGAAGAAAAGCCATCTCCAGGGAACATCTCTGGGTAGCTCATCCTGAAGGGCTGATAGCAGTTCCTGGAGAAGGAACTGGGGGTTCTTCTAAGTTTTCCAGGAGCCAAGTGAGACAACTGTGAGTTGGACTTGGGCCATTAGAAAGGCCAGCAAAGGGTAAAATCAGACCTTTCACGTAGCCAGGCAGAGGCTGTGTCCTGAATAGACATACTGACCCATATCTAGTTGGTATTACATGAGATAATTATGCAAATGTGGTTCCAGGATAGTCTTGATTTCAAGCACTCTGAGCCATTGCCAAACATTGGTCCTGGGCTTCAGTTTAGAAAGCAATTCCCATAATGCCACACGTGACAATGTGTAGTCCACGTGCAGCACATGCCAGCTGATGAGTGGGTGCCCCCCACCGCCCCAGGTCAGCCCCCCCGTGCCACCTCACGATAGGATGTAAATGTCCAGTTCTTGAGGAGGGTTGGGTTCACATCATGGATTATTTTTCCAAGGTCTCAGGATCCCAGAGTTTGTAGATCATGGAGCCCCCATGGGAGGGGAATGCCTCGTCCCAGGTGCATAGCTCCACTCATCCCAACATCTCCTCCAAGTGACACGTATGGTCAGGGTCTGTGCCCTCACGGCCACCTCAGAACACTTACTCACAACTCTGGTTCATTTTGCTGCCTGGATACTTCTGAGGATATCACTATAGGGGATTAGCTGACCAACACCCTATTTTATTAGTCTGTTAATGTAGCTTTAGAGTAATACACCTCAGATGTAGACAGCTTACTCCAACCTACCAAAAATATCATCATGAACATTTACAAGGTCTAAAGAATGATATAATGGTGGTGAAATTCAGATGCGTTACATTACCCCAATGTCTAATTTAGCCCTGACTCAGTCCATAGAAATATGGATTTCCCCACAGACGTAGTCTCATAGCTGCCTGGGCCCCATGTGCCTCATAGAGCTAAGGTGATGAGTCTGTCTGTCACACATCCTTGAAAGCCATAAAACACCCCTGAACTAACCATCTCTTTGCTGCGTCCTCAGAGAGCCGCTGACACTCACTTTGACGTTTTGGTCACAAAACCTGTCTGCCACTTGTCACTGGATCCCCCTTCCATCATTAGGTCTCCTTGGTATATAGAGATTTGATGCTCTCAAACTTCTACTCCATCAAAGGCTGATCTTTGACCCTTCGTTCATACTAAGAAATACATGGCCGACAAAGGCTCAGACAGGTGCTTATCCCAGGGGCAAACGCTCTCAGCAGCCATCAAATTCCCTTGGTCAGAAGGCAGTGAACCACTCAGAGGCAACAGAGCAAGCAAAAGGCTAGCCCTGGTCCTTCCTTCCTACTGACTGTGTGACTTTACATATATTATAAAAACTCCCTTTGATTCTCAGTTTCCTAACTGTAACATTGGAATAATAATAATAATAATACCTCCTTTATAAAGCAGTGGTTAAATGAGAGCATATATGTAACAGCACAGTACTTGGCACATAAAAAGCTGTAACGGCAGCTATTTGCTATTCGTTATTAAAATCTTGGAAAGTAAAATTTCAGACATCACTCAATGACTCATGGAAATATTTTGGAGCTTAAGGTCTTTGTGAAGTGAGAGGGAAAGGGAATGGAGTTTAAAATGCTGGGAGGAAATCCCTAGCAGAGGAAGGCAGAAGTTCAACGTCACGGTATCCCTGTGATTACCGTTCAATTGTGGGGTAAGCCTCAGTTAAGTCATCTGTCAAATGGCAGTTATAATAAGGTTGATCTGATGATTAAATATAATAATGCCTATGGATGGTTAACATAGCACCACGCACCTAAGCCTTGAAAAGTTTAGGGTTCTTGTTGTCATGGTTGTTATCACAACCTGTCTTCCCCATGCCAGGTCCTCTTGCAACTCTAGAAAGTGCAACCTAGCTTCCTAAGCACTATTCCAGGATTTAGGCTGGAGCACCTCTCCCCGACCCACAAGGGCCTGTCCCTGTCGCAGAGCATTTACAGCCAGCTAAGAATTACTCCCACAGATTTCTGGGATCCACTCCTTGCTGCCTCCATGTGGCTTTGTCATGTGGAAAGGCAATGTCATGCTACGCACAGACAGGGGACAGCTCCTTTCCTTTCTTACAAGGGGTTTGGTGGTAGTCTCACCTCGCTCTCACCTCTCATTCCTGGGATGGTCACAAACGCGAGAGAATCATGGCCCTTGAAATGAATTTATGCAGCAACAGGTAAAAGGAAAAGGGGCCCAGAACTTAGCTTTTGCCATTGGTCTTGCCAGAAAGTGCTGGACTGGGACAGAAAAGCAATCCCAGAGAGAAGGGTCCTCTAGCTTCCTTGGACTCAAGGAGAAGTAAATTGTAGGTTGCCTGATTTGTGATCAAAGCTACCGAAATTTATAAAATGTTCTGAGGATGTTTCTGCCCATGTGCTCCTAAGTAAACCTATAAAAATGGAGGAATATTTTGGTTCCAACAAAACTGGTGATTAGGACTGACTCCTACTGCCAAGGTGAGGTCTGTCTTAAACCTAACTATTCAGCAGGTGTCACTGGCTTCTCACTGCACTGTTCTGGGCTTTAGCAGGATATAAGGACGTTTAAGACTTGGACCTGCCCACAAGGGACTTAGGAACTGACCGGCAGTTCTTACTTCATTTTAATTCCAATGAAGCCTTTAGCCTTTTGGGAAAAAGAATCACTGGGATGAATCTAATACCACAGGGCTGGCTGTCAGATGGATTCTTCTATGACCCGGTGGCCTTGGACATGAAAAGGAAATGAAAACATTTCATTATGAGATTTTCTTCCCCCCCTTCCGCATGTTTCCGCCGTCTGCCCCGCCTACCCTCCACACCACACATACACATGCACACACACACACACACACACGCACACACACGCACAGGCACTTATAACCAGACGCACATATACACACATACATACACCCACACACCCCACATGAAAAAGTGAAGACATTGCTGAAGCAGCTGCAAACATTCAAAAATTGCATTACCTTCCTGACTCAAGTATCCATAGAATCTTAGCATTGAAAGAATCATGCGAAATCATTCAGTCTTTATATAGAGATATAGATACAAATTTTGAAAAAGAAGGAAAAAAAGCCAAAAAGGTAGCAGGTGAAGTGCCTTGTCCAAAATCAGGGTCATCGACCAAGCCCAGCTCAGGTCTCAGGTCATTTCTCTTTTTCACTCTTTCATCAGCTATTTCACAAGCACCGATTTTGTGCCAGGAGCCGTGCCAGGCATCCTTGATACAAGGTAGACAAAAACTGTACAGAGTTCCTCCCTCACAAGGCTTACAGACTAGCTGGGAAGACAGTGGCGAGAATCACACAAAGGAATGGGCGGTTTCCACTCTGAGAAGTGCTCCATGTGAGAGATCCACATGCCATTGGAGAGGGGGTCCTAGGAGGGCAGGGATGGTTCCTGGAGGAAGGCATGATTCATTTAGAGCGGAAAGGTAGGCAGGAGAAGGAGAGATGCTCCCCAGATGAAGGGAAGTCTCCCGTCCTCACCCAGGAAGATATTTCCGACACTGGTGTGCTGAGGCGGGCTCCGACAGGCTCTCACCTGATCCTCCGCGAGCTTCTCTTCCCAACTCCACACTCAGTGAGGTCGCACTGGTAGCTTGAAATTAGCCACGGTGGGAGTATTTACACCCCAGAAAGCAGCAGATGCTACAAATCAAGGTCCATCCCACTTTGGAGAACCGCCTTTACCAACACACCATGGGCTCCAACTACGTTCTACCTGCTTCCTGCTGTGGACAGCACAGACCCTGCCCTTTAAGCCAAATGCCTGTCCCCTTCCTGCAGAGACTCTTCCAAGAGCCTATTCCCAGAAAGGCACTGTCAACAAGTGACTGGGGCCTTGGGGCTGTTTATGTCACACCCTGGGCCATCTGGCTTCTAAGAAAGAGCCCGTTCTTGTGGTCTTC